AATACTCAAGTTTACTGTCCCTTAAAGTTGTGAAAAAATCAAACTTCTAAGCCAACGCAATGAAAAGATACAGCCGTTTATGCCGTAAATTTTCGACATTCGCAAGGGAATCAAAACCTACAGGGTACTTCCCGTGAACTCAGAGTCTTGAAATTTGGTACGAAGCAACGTTTTATAGCACAGATAAAGGAAAAATTGCGAAAAGCATAAATTTTTAGTTACATCATATAATAAAAATATTTTTAATAGTTTTAAACTTATATACCTACAGATTTGTTCGGAACCCTCGGTGCGCATGTCCGACTCGAACTTTGCCGGTTTATTTTTATTTGAAGAGACACGTGTACTAGGATATCTTTATATTATACATATACAATTAAACTTGGTTAAGTGGGACCTGGATAAGTGAGAAACCTTCATAGCTGGAACTCATGCTTAGGTCCCGACAAAACAAACCTCTATATTTGGGATTAGTTCTTTCGATTTTACTGTCATAATTACCTCTATAATTGTAACAGCGAGTGTATTTTACCTCTTTTATTGAGATTATATTTTGTGTACCGTTTTGTTTACTAATCCGCAAATTCCGCACTTGGCTAATTGTGTAAAAGTGACCTCCAGTTTTAATTTGTTTTTGCTGTCGTCCCGATGTTTATTTGAAAATGCCGAAGTGAAAGCACCTCTATAACTGAAATAACCTCTGTTAATGTAACCCTCTGTAAATGAGACAGATATTTATTTATACCTGGATATCTAAGACACTGGGTAACTGGAATACCTCTTTAAGTGAGACAAATTTGCAGGTCCCATAAGGTCCCACTTATCCAGGTTTCACTGTATATAATTCATCTGTACGTGTGCTTGTCGCTGAACTCTTCCTATTTTTTGAGTGGATTCCTGGTCACGTGGTCCTACCCCGGTCTAGCCGACCCATTCGTGCTATAACGGCTGACGATGCGTAGGGCGTCCACCAACTAGACAGTGACGACCTAGTAAGACATGCAGGAATACAATGGATGCAGGTGGCTCAGGACCCTGCTTTGTGGCATTCTTCGGGGAAGGCCTATGTTCAGCAGTGGACTTGTGAAGGGCTGTAACGATGATGATGATGATGACATGCATAAAATAACAATATAATCTCTCTGGGTTTCTTGTTGGTTCTTCCCAAAGACATAGGTATTTTCCGAATCAGTGGTAAATAAAAAAAATATTATCAATGAGTATTTATCTTTGATAAATTAAAATTATTTTATTCTATTCCCAGTGTAAGGTATTTTTAAGAAAAATTAAAAAAAATGGAAAACCGTTTAAAATTCAAATTAATTAAATACAAAATACACGTATAACTTTCGCTTCGTGTTAGGTTCAACGGCCTCTACCACTTAACTAAGCATCTAAAGGAAGTTAATGAGTTTTTTGGCTTGGAGGTTAACCCACTTAATATGCCTTCGCTTCTAAAGACACATTTTAGGAAGTACGAGTAAATGCGAAAATACCACCAGTATGATGATTTGGCTGTAATTTTTAACAACTCACTATCTACTATAAAATGTAACTCCGCCTAGTTCAGAAACCTTACCATCACCATTGCAGCCTATCATAAGTTCACTGCTGAACATAGACCTTCCCCATAAATTACCCCAATAGGGGATTTTTTTTATAGGAGAACAAGGAGGTGATGGCGATAGGCCTGTAGTTGGACGGATCAGAGCGGTTACCTTTTTTAGGGATTGGGTGCACGAAAGCTGTCTTCCAAGAATTCGGGACAACGCCTAGGGAGTAGGAGTATCAGAAAAGATGAGTTACAACCGGTGGCAACTCTGGCGCGCACGTCCTCAGCACAATTGGCGGGATCCCGTCAGGCCCACTTGACTTGTGTCTGTCCAGGGAGAGGAGTGCTTGGCATACTAAGCACTGTGTGAATCGCACATCCGGTATAGAGCACACACACTGCGGGATGGTCGGCGGTGTGTACCCCCCGTCATCGAGAGTCAAGTTGGCGCAAAACGAGAGCCTAAAAGGTCGGCATTCTCTTTTGCGGCGTGGGCCAGTGAGTCGTCCTCCCTGTGCAGAGATGGTAGTGATGACACACAGAAATTCCCTTGAACAGACTTAGCGAGAGACCAGAATGCACGGGTTTCCGAAGGAAGGCGAACTGATTTATCGCCAATTCTGACAATGTGCTCATACATTGCCTTGGCAATAACTCTTTTGAAGGACCTGGAGGCGAAGTTATACCTCTTTTTAAGCATGCTGGTGTTTACGTCCCGAACCACCGAAGCCCCAGCCCAGGCCTGATAACACTCCTGCTTAATGTGTAAGGCAGTCTTACAGGAGCGACCAAAGCAAGGCTGGGTCCAATGGGTACCACAGATGACGGAATAAATAATTCCATTCCCTGTAGCACCACACCAGTGACAGAGTCAGCAACAGCGCTGGAATCATCCGGCAAAAAGTCAATCCGCCCACATGGGTAGGATGCAAAGAAAGACCTTATTTCGTCCTAATCCGCCGACTTGTAATGCCAAATACGGCGGCAGCCAGCAAAACGCAACCGCGAGGGGAGCGTGAGTGACACCACACACCGGATCAGACAATGGTACGAATAGCCGTAAGGGGCATCGACGAAAACCTGCCAAGGCAAAGTCATAAAAAGATCTCCCCGCATTATCGGTTAAACGTCAACGTTAATTCGGCGTGGTGGGTGTTAAATTCGCCAAGTATCACGGTCTCTACGGATGGGATCTGTAGTTACAAGAAATCTGTAGCCATTTGGACGTGGTTGATGAGCCGGTTTGTTTCGGCATTACCGCTATGGGACCTATACATGCACCCGTAGACGCAGGGAAGGTCGTCGATGTCTAGACGCAGCCATAGGATGGACAGGTCCGTACCTTAAAGACTGCCCAGACGTCGAGATCAAATATCCTCTCAGACGTTTACGCAAACTCCTGCCCGGGGTACAAAGAAGTGTTTTAATTTGTACCCCGGGTAGGGGCGGTACGAAGTATCAGCCGGAGGGGACATCTGCGTCTCGGTCAAAAAGAGCAAGGCTGACTTCACCGTCTCTAGATGGTAGTGGACGGCGTTAAGGTTCGAGTGAAGTCCCCTGATGCTGCAGAAGTCCACGGAGATTTTTCCCACCTCCCCCCCCCCCCCCCCACCCTCGAGTAGGCGGGGCAGCCTGAGCACTCACGCTCAGGAAGAAGACGGCAGTTTGACCGTGGATGCTCAGTAAGGGATTCTTCATTACCAGGGGCGCTGGTACCCTCCTGGGGTAGTCTTTTCTTTTTGAATTACGCTACCATGGGGGGTGGGGGTTGCGTAATTCAACTTTTTTATTATTTTGAGTTATATTCAGGAAAACGCTGCTACCCGCCTCCTTTTTCAGTTTATCTCTGTCGCCTTATATACGGGATGATATGGGATAGTGAATTATCTATCTCCGTCACTACACCCTACTTTTTATATATGCATTCCTTCAGTCATATATGTAACTTGATTCAAAGAGAACAAACCGAGTGAAACAAAAAATGGCATACCCTCACGTGTTCAGGTCACTTTCTCCATCTCTGAGTCATCCCGCAGGTCATTGCCACAGACAATGAAACCAGCTCGATATCATAACAATTGTGCAAGATTGGGTTTCCATTGATCTATGTGAAACTGAGACGTTAAGAAAAAAAAAGACTTTCTCCTGTGTAATTTGAGCACGATTTTGTTTATCGATAGCATGTCAAACAAGTCTAAAGAGTAATTTTTTTTGATATTATAAGACTTTCTTTTTATATATTCTTACAGTGTCATCTGATTCTGAGTTATATTTAAAATTATAAGTCTAGATAATCGAGAAGTTAGTTTCAAATCAATTACTAAATTCGAACCAAACAAACATAGACGAAAGCGAATTAATAAATACGTAGTAATAAAAAGGCCATTTCTATTCTTGTAAAGTCATCAGTATTAACTGAAAGCTGATAAACAAGTATATAATCGAACCTCTCACTTATAATTTGCGAATGAAACAGAAAGTTTTAGCAAGTGCTATCCTCATACATGTAACAGTGCGTTATCGGAAACAGTATACAAACGTATGGTATTAACTTTACTTCATAAATATTTGCAAACTGTATGTGGTTTTACGAGTATTACCTCTGCATTGGCCTGCATTGGATGCGCATGTCATTTAGACGTAATAAAACTACAACCACAATTCACAAATAAAAATTGATTTAAATAAAGTCTTTTAGTCGTAAAACTGCACACCAGAAGTGAAAATTCTTAGCTTCTTAGTTATATATGTATATACATATATCTAAGCGTGAAGGTCCCGCAAGTTCAGCACTTTTTCCTCAAAAGTGCTCAACGTGCCAAAAAAGTTTTTACTTCAAAAAATTATGGTCGAGTTTACTGAAATAAGGTTATTTCATTAACGTATTTAACGCAGGGTACATGTTAGATGTTGTATGTATTATAATTCTTCTATATATGTGTTTGTTACTGAACTCCTAGACGGCTGGACCGATTATAATGATTTTTTTGTGTGCGTTTGAATGGGTTTCTTTTATATCACGTATAATTTTTTTTGCACGGGAAAGCTATTATATACAACGTGGTAGTGTCACGCTGCAGCTATATTATTGTTGTTAAACGAATAGGTCGGCTCGACCTGGGACATAGCACGATCTCACAGTATAACATGGAATATCAGCTTAATAAATTAATGCTGCTGTGCTTCGTTATGTAAGTGTAGAGAATCGGTGACCTTTTTTACTAGAAACGAGGCATTCCATCTTAGTCCTCATGGGTGACAACGCAACGCATTTCGCTTTTTAATCGAACATATATATAGATGTGTATGGGCCATATCATCCACACTTACCATCAGGTGGACTGTGTGCTCGCTTATCACTTTTATTCCATAAAAATTTCCAAATAGGCTTAAAAACTTCTCTTCTTTTCTTAATTATTTACCCATCATTTTATCTGTTTGTCAGCAGGTGATATATTACGAGCACGCTCAACATCAGCACCATTATGATGAGCACGAAGAGGAGCCCGGCTGGGGACCCTGGTCCAGAACCATAGACCCTGAGGTAAGACTAAAACTTCATACCTAGAACTTTAAAAATAGTTACCACAACTCTAAGATTTTCTCCTGTATCATAGAATGATTTCAATAAATACCATCCAAGGCCACTCCTGAACATATGTCTCCCCTATAGATTGTCTCATAGTTTCCCTATGTTTGCCAAGCGTTGTTTTTTTTTAATTGAGTTAATATCAAGAAGATGGCGCTGTCTATCTCCAGTTTATTTCCCTCTGTCGCTTCTTACAACATCCAAGAGATGATATAGGATAGTGAATTTTCACCAAAAATTACATTTAAACATCCAGCCCCAGAACAATTATTTGTAGATCATAAAATTACAAACTAGCTCCGTACTGGATTCGAACCTGCAACTCTTCAACGCCAGAGGGACACTTACCAACTGCGTCACCAAGACGTCATTAGATAGATAGCTAGATACTAGATGTACTACAGATATGGTCAGACTCGACCTCCAATCAACAACATATACGTGGTAGAGCCACGCTGCAGCTATATTATGGTTACAGCACGAATGAGTCGGCCCGACCGGGGAAGTATCACGCTCGCACCGAAGACCAGTGCAAAATAACACCTTAATGCTGCTGTGTTTTGTATGGTGAGTATAAAGAACAGGAGACTCCTTTTTACTAGAAACGAGGCATTCCATCTTAGTCCTCACGGGTGACAACGCATCTGCATTTTGATCCGTAATCGAGGATAGATGTAGATGTCTATGGGCCACAGCATCCACTTATCATCAGCTGGACTGTGTGGTCATTTATCTCCCTTATTCTATATTAAAACTATACAATTAACTGAAAACGTTTCTCTTGCAGGAAGAGTTGGACTTAGAGTTAAACAACCGACCCTACAGAGCACAGGAGCGCATCTCACTCAGTACCAACAGACCACTGCTAACACTAACCTAACTCAAACATTGCCAACCTTACCTTCAACTACCGCACTGCCACAGCTACCTCTAACCACACTTTTAATGTAAAATGACGCTACATTTTAATTTGTAGAAAGGGTCAACAGTTTTGTAGAAAATTTCAAATCTATGGCTTTCTATTTAGTTCAATGTAAGAACTTTCTGTAGTTTTGTGCTAAATATTATTAAAAATCATTTCTATCTCTCTATGTTGTATAAAGCACTACTTTATTAAAGGAAATTCAAAATAATCGACGTTTGCTATAGAAAATAAGGTTTTTTTAAGGAAATTCGAAATAATCAACGTTCGCTATACACACTAAGAATTTTTTACCAAAAAAAAAATAAGTAGTACTTTCTTTTAAAATCTTAATGCAACTGTACCTTATTTTATAAAATATATACCCATAGCAGAGTGGTTCACAATTTTTTTATACACCTCATTTCTGAGAGGGTTAATGACTTTTCCGGTGCAAGTAACATTATGGTTATTTCATTTCCTTTAATTCAATTTTCTTTACTTTATTAATATTTTATTTTATTTGAAACTCCAACAGCGTTAGTATATTTCACATAAAATAAAATTTAAAATGGACGTAGAGCTATTAAAAAGTATTCGCGTACGTGCAAGTTGTAAGGCAAAACGGTTAGTTGTTCGTAGTCATTAAGTCTTACGGCTTCTACGTGTACTCTCCATAGGTTTGCATTAACTCTTGTTTTTCTTTTATTTTAAGCTGTTACCTTGGTCAGTAAGCGAATTTAATTTTATTAAAAGTATCTACTATTCAGTTAATGTAATAAATATTACAATATAGTAGTAGATACATTTCTATAAAGAACTGTAAAAATATGTTTATTAAAAGTATCTACTATTCAGTTAATACGAGAATAATATATATTAGAATATAGTATACTTCTTACAGTATGCATAAGTAACTTGCTTATGTATACTCTGATGGTATACATCCATAAAGATATGTAAAAAAATATATTTATGTGTATATCCTTTATTGTAGAGTATTTCACCTCAAGCTAATGGGCCTTATAGATGATGTTTTGTAGCTTGTGCAAATGCTATTGTGAATTGAATTTCATTGTACAAACATTTAAAGCAGTGAAATGCCGCAGGCTGATGATGATGATGATGATACAAGCAATTATTGCTTTGTAAAAGTGTTAACAAATGTACTCACTTTGGACTTTGCGCTAGACAATACGTAATTCGTATGCCCCTCACTAGGGTCGAACTAGGTCGAACTACTTAGCCAAGTCGAATACCCACAATTTTATTGCTAATAAAAAACTATAAATAATTAATGCAATCAACGCAGTAACACGAAATTTACGTTGACATATATCATCCCTTTGTTCATGATCATTCCCATTCATTAGTTTTCTCCATCTTCTTGCTGCCCTTATTCCAACTTATTTGGATCGTTGTTCCTTCTTCCTGCCCTTATCTCAAGTCATTGGGGTCGGCATAACATCTACCTCTTTCATTCACCTCTATGAGCCGTCATCTCTTCACTCTTTCACACATATCATCTCTAAAATAATTCATCTTTTCTTAAGCGTCCCACTACTCTTATATCCATCCATTCAAAATAGTTCTATTAACGTTAGATGTAAAACAAAAAAGAAAGTCAGCTAGGTTAACTGCAGTTAATTATCGTTAACCAACGTTTGTATAAACTAAGCACTTGTACTTGTCCGTCTAATGAGCACTACTAAGCAGACGTGACACATGCAAATGATCAACTTTCTATGTTTGAACACCACAAGTACCTACAGGTAATTTATTTATTGAACACCTAGGCGTAAGCGAGAGAGGTTGGGTTTTACTGTGGACTTGACAAGGCCACGCTACCCGCTTTCATTATATTCGGTTTATTTAAGGCGTGGTGACTGTCTCATTGGTCTAGTGCCGTTCATCAGGTCCGGGATTCGTATCTCGGATCGAGCCAAAACTAGTTACTGGCCTTGTAGCATCCCGGAGTCAGAGAGTTGCCACGTGCGTGTAAAGCCATTGGTCCTGCGCCCGATCTCTCTCCGATCGTGTCGAATTACCGTCCCATGGTGTGATATTTTAAATTGAAAACAGGACAGCTGAAACCAAATTGACATGTACGAGTATCTCTTTGTCATTCTCAATTTTTACTATTTATATTATACAGCCCGCGCACAAAAGGTTTGCCGAAATAATGATGTTACGCGTTCGACGGATGCTCGTTAACTCCCGATTGTATTAGCTTATCTATGGTAAAACGTTGCCGTATATAACACAATTGTTAATTTGCAGGATTCCCCTAGGAGTTTGAAAATTCTGGACGAACCTTCTGCGCGCGACATATAATTGTAAAATAAATGACCGCTTACTCGAAAAAGTAGAATAGAGTTGAATAGAATAGAATTATTTTTTATTCAATATTGTTTAAAAGTTATTCTTATTGAAACTCTTTTTTTAGTTTTTACCACTGGTTCCAAAAAAATCGGTCTTGGTGAGAGCCAGCAAGACACCCAGCGAGACTTATTTTTTCAAAGTAAATTATACAATAAAAAGGTTGTACAAACTACAACTAGGTTGAGCTAAGTTTGCACCTCAATGCAATGCGAAACCCCTCCGTATCTCCGCTCTCAACCCCCAATTCATACGGCCATGTCAGTTTGGTTTCCATCTTTGTTACCGATACGCACGCCTTAATTATCGCCTCCTGTTCGTTTAGTTTTGGATTATTTTTGTTGTTACGTCATCCGCACCGCACCACGCGCAAACTTAGCTCAACCGAGTTTTACTTACAAAACTTAATTTATGAAACAGCTTGGAAGCGACCACCTCATTATCAGAGGTTATTACCTTTTTAGTTTTTGTTTAATTAAATATTTAAACTTGGTAATACAATAAAACTTGCATGTTTGACAACGAATATTAGTTTTCTTACAGTCAGGCAGAATATCGATTATTGCAGATAATGTCCGCATGGTTTAAAGGGCTTAATTAGTAAAATATTGTTTGCATTGCTTTGCTGGAATAGTCTAAGTTCGCTTGTAGTAAAATATTTATTTTTAAACTATTAAGTCGCCATAGTTCGGTCTGATTGTATTTATTTTGTATGTTTGCTGAGTGAACTATTTATTGAAATATATTTGGTGAACAGTTAAATGTGATTTCATTCATACCTTCCTTTTTAGATATAAGTTAGTTAGTTACAACATAATGAAATAAAAAAATATTTATATTGAATATTGTTAACATCAGAAGTGGAAAAAATAAATAAAATTGAAGTGTCTGTTTGTAATGTCAAAATAACAGCTTTTTACAAAATGCATTTGAAAGTAACAGCACTTTAACAAAAACACAATTATTACAAACACACTAAAACACTACTATAACAATGAGTTCGCCTTATAAAAGCTATTTTATATATTACTAACTTTTTACCCGCAGCTTCGCTCGCGTGCGCTTGAATTTAGGAACATCATTAAATGCTGTTCCGTGCCAAATTTAGAAAAATTCGATCACTTTTAGTCACCTCGGTGTCTATGTCTCTATGTGTGTCAAAGATTTTTTTCATTCTAAAATACTATTAGACGTAGATGATTGGTAACATGCTACAGAAACACGTGAATATATTATACATATGTCTAGAAACACCTGCTATTTTTTATATCGGGCGTGTCTTCCGAATTCCGATGTATCCATAAGAAAGGTAAATAGTTGAAATCAAAATGTAATATTATTATTTACATTTTACTCTTTACATTTATTTATAGTTAAAGTTAATTTAGTTTTAACAAAGTAATATAATGTTTATTTGAGACATTTTATTCATATCATTGGTCTTATTTAATATTGATTAGCACCATAAAATAGATGTAGATATTTCTTTACTTGGAGTTAGACTTTAAAATTTCATAAATAGAGATCTATAATAATCAATACTACACATCGATTAAAACTAATGTTACGGATTTTTTAACGCATTTTAGATGAAAGTTCTGAGTAAAAGAACATATCGTTGATGTGCAGCACCGGGAAGTCTAATGTATGTCAACATGTTATATATATACATATATATATATATATATATATATATTATATATATATATAGAATTAAAAAGTTAAAATTAAACGCGATAAAATACTTCAAATTAGTTTTATTCCTTATAAATTTTATTCACAGTGAACGTGAGGAGCACTACACCCATGGGGTAGAAAAATGTCCGCCTTGTTGTGGCGGTGAAAGAAAATCCACCACCTCATATCATCCCGTCGTAAGAGGCGACATAGGAAAACAAACTGGAGATGGGATGGGCAGCATCATCTTCTTGACAACAGATCAAAATAATAATAGCTGCATTTGCTAACCCGCCTACCAACCGTGGCAACTATAGCAAATATCCAGCCACTTGACAATTTATGCGGGAGGCCTATGTTCATCTCAGTGGACTTTTGATAGGCTGACGATAATGAGTTCTACTCATCTTTGCAAGCCTTAATATTTACGGCAGAGTGAAAACAAAAAGTAACATAGCCGAAAACACGAATGAAATAAAATCTGCATAATATAAAAAAGTTAAAAAAGTAGTAGCTTACATACATGTAACTACTGGGCACAGGCCGCAGAGTTTTTGAACAAAAAAGTCTTCGCTGCGGTGATTCCAACGCGGGATGAATGTAATGTAAATGATCCAATTATTTACATTGTGTGTTCAGTAGCATTGTATTATTTCATTTTATCGATGACTTGCCATTTTAGTTTATTTAGCGCTAATATTAGATGAAATTATGAAGGCCAAAACTATACCATCTAGTCATATCAACAACAGAAGCTAACATTTATTTATTATATCAATAAGGAATAAAGTGATGTCAATTCTCTTAAAAGTTCTGTTTCTGTTAAAAAATACGCTATCAGCGCCCCTAGCGGTGAAAAATGATTTAATGATATTGTCATATAACCATATTATGAAATAGCAACGTTGTGTTTAGTTATTAAT